ACTGTTTCTTGTAAAAAAAAAAAAAAGAAGTCAAGGGATCTGTTGGAAAGCAAGAGGGTGTGATTGAAATTAGCCATGTAACTGGACACCACACAGGGTTGGCCTGCCTAACATATAATGGGAATTACCTTGTGTTCTACCAACTCCCTGGGGCCCCAGAAAGGGGACATATGAAGGAAATTCAGAAAAGAGCAACAAAATCATTAAGGAGCTGTGAGATTGATTTATGAGGCACATTATGGGAGTTAAGTACATATGGCTTGGCTAAACAATGACTGACTGAAGACACAATGAATGTCAATGACTTTACAGAGAATGGAATCACTGTGGGAAGGGAAGGGAGGGGGTTGTCTTCAAGGGGATAACGTCATAGTCACTGCTTTTATGAGTTTCTTTTTTTTTTTAATATGGGGGCTCTGCTTTATATTTCAATTGCCTACTATGGAAGTAAAGATCAATATTTTTAAAAATTTTTATAATAATGAGAAAGATAACACAACAGCAATAGAAACAACCTTTTACCTTTATACAATGCAGGAAATTCTCTATATGTGTTCTGGGAAGGAGACTGAGAAGTAATAAGAATATAAATCAATTAACACCCTATCTGAGACAGAAAAGGCAGAAATGAGCCTCTGGTGTCACATCTGGGATGAGGGAAAGGGAAAGAGAGAAATGAAGGGTAAAAAGTAAATCGACCAAAGTCCTTGCAGCTCATAACCATGAAATTACCACCCTGGTTGGCTGCCAAGCCCAGCAATTCATGAAGAATCTCTGATAAGGTCTCCCCTGACGTCCCCAGAGACCTCAACTGCCACACAGTTTATTTCAAACAAGAGAAGATCACCAGACTGAGATCACCAGTCTGATCACCCGACTCAAACACAGAAGATCATCCACCGCCAGTTGAAGGATGGCTGATGGGACCAACATAGCTGCTGCTGGAACAAACAGCTTGCAGTTCTTTCTGACCTCATCTCATGCAGAGCAGTGACAAATGACAAAACTTAAACTGAGATTTGCAGTATTTTAAAAGATCCAAGGGCAGCTGACCACTTGCCTGTCCCTGAAGTAGGTGCTGGGGATGTTATGGTGGATATGATATGCTCCTTCTCCTCAAGGGACTCCCAGATAGGAGAGGGAGGCAGAAACAGAAACAGACAATCATTATGTTTGATGGGTTTAGAGATATAAGAGATCAGCAAGGTATACCAGCCCTGAGCAGAGAACAGCATCCATTCCATACAGAGGATTTTAGAGATCATGTCCTGGAGGCAGTGACATGACATGA